ACCACTCACTGAGCTTTATGGGGTCTTTGGATTGTTACAATTCATGAGAACTCCCGGGCGGGGCACTCGTCCGAAAGTGGGGTATGCAATATTTGGGTGGGCATATTACGCGTTTAGTGGTATAATAAATGACTGTTATTTTAATTGTATTTTGTATGCAAATGATTTATTGCTTCTTTCAACAAGGGGCTGCAAAAAAAAATCAATGTCATTAAAAAAAACTATGATGATTGGAAAGTCAACATAAATAAATTTAAAGTTATTGTTTTCAACGGAAAGGGTGAGAATCTTTAAAGATACATTTTAATTCTGTTTAAATTTATCTTGACATTATCTTGCAATCTAATGATAAATTTAACTTGCCAATTCCAGGTTTCTAAATTGATAGCGTTTGCGCATTAATTGTTTGTGCACTTGCATATATTGTGTAACCCCGGGGTCAACAAACCCGATGGTAGGACAGATTTCGAATATTTCAAACACACAGTGTTGCAGTACACGAACACCAAAAAATGTGCACACCATTCTGCCTGAGCAAGAATAACGAGCATGCATTATCTTTGGCTGAAGAGTAATATTTTCATAGTTTTTGCCTGTATTTTGGGAGTTATGTCACAGTCATATTTACTCTGTGAAACACACACGTACCATTTATTTCAGTACATTTTCTCTGAAAAATCATCTTTGTTCACCTGAAAATCCACTTTTCTCAATTGTCCAAAATAGTTCTTCTACCTCCCGTCGTTTGTACCCACCCACACTCACTCCACTCTTTGAGTTTACGTATCTGCAAATAGAATTACATCGCGTCTGACATTAATTCGGGGATCGAGAATTTCAATTTTATATGACAAGTCTCAGAAGACGTTATTCAAAATGTACAAGGTGCTATGAAATAACAATGAGTTTCATTTGGGTAATTAGCATGTACAGTACTCATTCAGCCCAACCTCCGGCTTTTATCGTTTTTTTTTCGACCGCTTATCGCTTAATTTCCAACCGCTCATCGCTTAATTTCCGACCGCTCGCTGCTTTCCAACCGGAAATCGGCCGCTTTTTTTCCCGCTCGCTCGCTCGCTTTTGTTCCCTCGCTCTTGTTCGCTCGCTCGCCTTTGTTTAATGCATTTGTTTGACGCTGACATTTGAGGTGGAATAACGACTCACAAAATTGTTCAGTGAAAGTATCAATACTGAAAAACTACAAAATTTGATTTTGTTTTAGGATGCAGCTGTTGAACATTGTAAAAACTCAAAACTGTATACTTGAGGCAGTTTTGTTCAAAATATGTCACAAGTTACACAACTCGGTAATTTTGAATTTGTCAATTACCCCTCAGTATTAATAATTTTAATGAATTATTTAAAAGAAAACTTGAATGACAAAAAAATCATTATCAAAGAAGACAGCAATAAATACTTACAAGTTATTTAAAAGACAAGCAGCCTATCGGCTGAGATAGCTCCGCTGTTAGCAATGCACATTTCAATTAAACAACTGAAGACATCTTTAGAAAATGAACAATATGTATAGTATCAAAGCAATCGGACTTACAGTTTTTAACAAGAAGTCGAAAATATCACTTACTACCAAAAATGACAAAAATATTCACCAAAATTAGAGAATTGAAGATATCATCACGAAATGAACAAATCTGAGAAAGGTCTACATGTAGTATCTATATATGTAATATCAAAGCAATTGAACTTTTGGTTTTAACAAGAAGTCGAAAATATCACTTTTTACCAAAAATTACAAAAATATTCACCAAAATTAGAGGATTGAAGATATCATCACAAAATGAACAAATCTGAGAGAGGTTCACATGTAGTACCTATATATGTAATATCAAAGCAATCAGACTAACGG